TTTAGATTGTATTACTGTTGAAAAAAGCTAATTCATCTAATGAAGAACATGTTTTATCAACAGCAATTGGATTTTCTTCCTTTCTCTTTTGTTTTGTTGATATTTCAACAAAATATCAACAAGCATTATCTTGCCTGATCACTGAACTGAGTCAGAAAAAGAAAAGAGAAAGAAAGTTTGAAGAAAAAAAAAACAAACCCTAGATATTTCTTAGGATTAAAAAGTAGGCTTCTGTTACATTCATAAAATAAAAAGGCTTATTTCTGTTTCCATTATGGAATAGTTTAATTAATTTCAAGCCTGGCAAGGAGAGATAAAGTTCTGAATATAGCTTCACAGTTCAAATAGAGGATATGGTAACTGAAAAATGGACACTAATTTTTTAAATTGGATGGGTATTGTTTGTGATGTATTAGTGCTGTACATTAATAAATGGATAATGCCCCTGGCTTCTTTTGACTTACAGGTGGTTCTCGACTTACAAACACAATTGAGCCTCAAATTTCCACTGGTATTCAAGACAGTTTTTAAGTGAATTTTGCCCCATTTTACAATCTTTCTTGCCTCAGTTGTTCAGTGAATCACTGTAGTTGAGTTAGTAATATGGTTGTTAAGTGAATCTGGCAAACCCATTGACTTTGCTTGTCAGAAGGTTGCAAAAGATGACCCCGGGATACTGCAACTGTCATAAATACATGCCAGTTGCCAAGCATCCAAATTTCGATCATGTGACCATAGGGATGTTCAATGGTCATTAAGTGTGAAAATTGTTATAAGTCACTTTTTTCAATGACTCTAAACAACCACTAAACAAATGTTTGTAAGCTGAGGGCTACCTGTGTTTCTTTTACTAATGAATAAGTTTATGCTGATTTCATAACCTTTCCAAAACTGGTACGTAATAAAGCAACAGCCCAGTTTAGCTGCTTTGTAATGAAGATTACTACTTGTTCCTGACAGTAGGGGAGACAGCATATAATCAATACATAACATCATCCCTGTTCAATAAAATTGAAACTGTACTGATTTACAGACACTCTCAGGTTGCGTTGATACCAGAGTAAAAGGTCTGTAAATACAATTAAAAAAAGAAAAGTATCCAATTTATTAAAACTTACACGAATTATTTCCAAGGAAGGTATTTCCTTTAGAGATACATATTTTGTAATATTCATCAATCTACTTATTCTGGAATTCAATTCAATAGTTTAATTCAATATTCAATTCAATAGTAAATCAAAACACTGAAACATTGGTTGGATTATATATTCTAAATAAAGGTTGTCTGGAAGGAAAAATTAGTGATTGGTTCTCCAATTTCAGTATTTAAAATTTCTCAACTGAAATATGCTACAGAATATATGAGGAGCATATGAAGAAATTTAAGTGCTTCTGTATTGATTCAAGAAGTCATCCAGTATCTTTTCTTCTCTTAAAAAGCTTAGAAAATGTTGATACCCAATTGTCAAAAATCAATATTATAGTAATAAAACATTCCATAATTAATTAATTAACTAATTAACTAAAATCTCAACACTAACCAAATTAGGTCAGTGATTATATGAATTTGGTACTGATTTCGAAGGTATCTGAAGTGAAAGCAGATACCTTCGAAATCAGAATCAAATTCAGATAATCACTAACCTGATTAAGTTAGTGTTAGGATTTTAGTTCTCCAAATTCACAGCTATTTTAGGAGTATGTGAGACATAGCACAACATCAAATAAGGTTATTCTACGCATTTCAAGTTTGTGTGAAGAATTAATTGTATTGCATTGTATGACTGTACTTAATGGGCTGAGGCCCAATGGCAGGCCTGTATTCCATTACCTTCAGATGCCAGTTCACTTTGGGTATATTTCTTCGTATATAATGAAGAACAAGAGATTCGAAACAGTCTAACTAAATAAAGGTATTAAAATATTGAATCAATAAGGCCCAGTTCCAGAAATACTTGAGTTCTGAAAAACAAATAAACAAAAACTTGTAAAGAGAGATTACCAAGATAAGAGTACAGTGAGACACCGAAAATTGTAGAAATGGTGGCACAAAATCTAAAATTCAGAATGATCTGAATACTCTAGCAGAGTATTAGAAAAATGAACAGGTTTTCTTAAAAGTATATTTAAAGGAACAGAAGCAAAATGCGAACAGAAATATCCAAGTCCTGTTTTGACCATATCATCTCTAACAAGAAGACATATATTTTACCACTCATGAGCATATTGAACAGGAAGGAATGAAGCTCAAGACTGACGTAAGCAAGGTTAGGAAATTGCAATTTTTCACGAATGGTTTAAATATCTAGGGCTTTATGAACTACATGGTAAATTGCTAATGGTCTGACCAAACATTTATGTATTATCTCTAAAAAAATCCTTGAGACCTTGTGATATGCTAGATGACTGGAGAAAGTCGAAGTTCATATATTTGTTCAATAGATGGACTCAAGAAATTACAGACCAATCTAAAATTGATGTGTGGCTGGGAAGACCTAAAGATGGAAATAAAGACAGCAATCTGTAAGCACCTTGAAAACAATGAAGATACTATTTTCAGCATATATTTGTTAATAATAAATCTTGCTAGATTAAGTTTGTCATATTTTAATCAAGTTGCTTGATAGGTTAAAATGATAGAAAAAACAATTCTGACTGAACATTAGAAAAAGAAATTAACAATATTTTGTTAGGGGAAAATTTACTTTCAGAGCTAGTTTTCTCCTTGTCATTCAGTGAAGCTGGAGGATACACAGCTGTCTATTAAGACCCAGAAATGCTTTAATCTGGATTTCTGCACTGAACAGGAAGTTAGATAATAGTCTGATGGTCCCCATTAGCTCAACGGTTCTATATAAAAGGGGTTCTAATAGAAAACTTCTATATGGTTCACTTAGCAGGTTGCAGAAATGGTTTGCCACTACTTTTTTTTTTTTTTTAAACTTCCTAGTATAGTCAGTAGCTCTGGGATTCCCCTAACCTAATACTGACAATAGCTGGAACAGATGGGCTTTCAATAACAGGGATCTTGATCTGTTACACAGGTTCTAATTATACAACAAGTACCTATGGATTTTAAGAAGCCCATTTTATTATTTGGTTAGGATCCAGCCCATTTCATCAAATCTTGACAAGATTTTCTATATCTATCTCACTTACAGATACACAGTAAAAATTGAAGATTGAGCCAAAGAACTGCGAACTATTTGCATATGCTCTTTCATATATATGAAAAATAATTTACATAATAATGGATGTGGATTTTCTAAAATTTAGAATGAAAGGAGAGGGAAGAAAAATTATACTTCAATCTCAATTCAAAATAGATTTGCAGATAAATTTTCCAATGCTCTCTTTTAAGATAAAACAAAAACTATTCTAACACTTAGTATACATCTATTCAAATGCAACACTTTATGTTCATTACAATAAACTTCTTCCCAATATTCACCAGATGTTTTAGAAATCAACTCCCCAAATCTGCAGCAGATAAAAAAGACTTGAAACTCAAAATCTCAGTACCAGATTACGGAAAACTGCGGTGTTGCATGGCAGCCAGAATAAAAATATATGAGTGCCAAAATCAATAGTAAGTGGATCATTTGAATTCAGCAGATTGGAACTAACCAAACATTAACTTGATAATATCTAAATGACAGTTGTATACTACGTATATTCTTGGAGCATACAATGGTACTATGTCATATAATAACATAAGCCCTCTCATAAATATATCAATACATATCAAGGTTTAGATATATCTTCAGAGAGCCAATTTTGGGAATTTTGAATTGGCCTGATTCAAAATCACTTTTTGATCAGTGTAAATCTGTGATCTGTCCACATAGCAATTGCCAAACAAGGCTTATAAGGCAGTCTTTGGGTCAATAAATTACTCTGCATTTACATGGTTCAAAGTTTAGCTTTTATTTGGTTTTAAATTAAAAAAATAAATTTCATTATTAAAGAGTGGAATGAGTCTAAACTAATGTTTACATTTTAGTTCACTTCATTTAGAATACCACCAGAGAAACAATAAAAGAGTACTGTTATTATCCCAAAACAGACATCTTTTTTTAAGAAAGGTTGACAGTGGCAGAATTCAGTTTAATTGGAAAAAGTCTTTAACACATTGACCACGAATGTTAGAAGGAAACAGCTGGTATCCGTGCTCTCCATACCTAATGGCTACCTCAGTCTGTCACAGGGTTTGGGCACATTATACAACAGTGCTAATGTCGTCTGCTTCATCTGGTTTTTTCTGCCTGCTTGGCAGAGATTTCAAGTACTCCAGGTGCCGGCGTGCATCCTCTTGATTTTGCCGCACATAGTAAACTACATAGGATATCACCATGGTGAACCAGCCAAACATGGTGACTAGCATGGCATAATCTGTTGTCTTTTTAGGAATATTACATAGGTCAGCATCAGCTGCATTGAGAAATGGCCTCCCAGCATGTTCATCTAAATCGGAGGTCTTACAGATGACACTGTTGGCTGTTTCATGGTTGGAAGCCATGCTTCTCAAGACTTGCTGAAGGGTGCAATCACAGTGCCAAGGGTTGTTTGCAATTCGAGCCCTAGCCTTCAAGTTGTTAAAAGCATTTTTGTGCACGCTTTTAATCCGGTTGTCTGACAAGTCTAGCATTTGCAAGGTTTCTGCCACCCCTTTGAAGGAGTGCTCATCTATGAATTCAATGATGTTTTTGGATAAGTTGAGGACTTTCAATTGGTGCAAGTCCTTGAAAATCTCATTTGGGATGGATGTAATCTGATTGGAGTCTAAATAGAGAAGGACAGTTTCAGGAGGAAGATCTCTGGGTATTTCTTTCAGGTTCGCATTGCTGCAGCTGACATTCAAACCCCCAGAATGAGAGCAAAGGCAACCTTTGGGGCACATACTGGCAGAATGAAAGCATAGTATCATGAGGACAAAGCTTTGTAGAAGCAGACACATGGAGAGGGAGCGAGTTAACCACAGGTCTACCAAATGCATGCTGGAATGTCAGCATAATCACCCAACCGCTTCTCATTTACCCAACAGTGTGGCAAAGTGTCTCAGGAACAAAACTGCAACCTCATTCTCACCAACAATGGAAGTCAAGAACAGGTTAGTATATAGACATCTTCATGGTTGGTTTGCTTTTTAAAAGGACATTCCTGGAAAAGGAAAACAAAAAAAACCTTTTAGAAGACTGTGAGGGGTATATTTTAAATGATGTCAATATAGTTTAAGGTACAAACCAAGGCAAAACTATTCAGAAATAATCTCCCATTAAGTTCAGTGGGTCTTGTCCCCAGATAAACATGTAGAGGATTGCAGTCAAATGAGAAATCTTGATGGCAAAGTCTAATTTATTAAATGTCCAATGGGTTCGCTGTTATAAATGACCTTAAGATGTTCTTTCACTCTAATATCACCATTTCCAAAGCAGACTATTTTTTTTTCCTTTTTTAAACACAGGTTTTCTAGAACAGCGGTAATAAAACTTAATTACTTTCTTCCATTTACAGTAGCAGACACATTAACGAGATTTACAGTGAGACTCATGCAGCAGTGACAAATTAAGCAAGCATTTTTGTGGTTAATAACCTTGCACTACAATGTTCCATATTGCTTTAAATCCAAATTAAACTATTTAAGAGAGGAAGTCCTTTTTTTTTTTTTTTTTACAAGAATGTACTTATTTTTCAGACAAACCAAATACTGATAGATCTGAAGTCATGAATATGTTTTTGCATCAAGTTCACAGCCATACTGGTTAGGAAATTATGTGAGGTCTACTGGAGTTGCCAATCTAGGGAAGACTGAATGTTTTCATCTGCTTGTATGGTAAAGAATTTTGCTATAAAAGCTCTTAAAAATTATCAGTGCTTTATAAAATAAAATCTAATGACATAAAAAAAACCCTGTTTTTTTCAAGGAACTCAATCTATTGAAAGGGGAGAGGGTTGCAATAACTTGAACAGAACTTAAAGACAGATTGTGAAATGATGCAATACAGAATCTTTAATTTCTTTGTTATGAAGTACCTCCATCTTTTCAATCATATATATCACAAACACACATACTTTTACTAACAAGCTGAGAAGTTTGCATTTTTTCAAACTGTTTTTAAATATAAATGAAGTTCATTTTAACATGTAAGGAAAATAATACTAGGACTAGTAGTGAGTAAAATATCCACTCTTTTATTTTCAGATGTAATCTGGAGAAAACCATCTTAGCAGTTGGGCAAATGGGTAGATGACGTAAACATTTACTATTGATAATGAATAGGTTTTCCATTATTGATACATGATGGTTATCTTACTATTTTTGAAGACAAATGAGGAAAGATCACTTGGATACGAGAGTTGTTGGATGCAAGATGGGCAGCAAATAAATTTTATAAATAAATTAAGGCAGGAAGTATTCATCTCTTATGTTACCCAAGAACAGTGAGAAATGTTTCCCAACAAATTTTATTTGTAAATGGAGCCAGCAGAGATGCTAAGAGAAAAATAATTCTGAACGCCTTTTAATATGAAAACTGCTCTCCAAATATGTTTTAGCATAGCTTTAATACTCACAAATGTGATAAATAAATAAAATATACAGCAATATAATCTTAGAATTTGAGTTAATTATTATCATATCAAGAGAATGCTATTTCTGACCTAGGATCTGAGCATTGAAAAAAGTGCAATTAACCTATCTATATCATTAAAAAAAACACAATATAGAGTAAAATAAGATCGAAGAACCTGTCAACTTATTGTAGTTCAGTTACTTTGATGAAGTGCCTTGGGGAGTGGAAGGAAGCTTCTTAAATTGCTCCTTTTTTCTGTCAAAGAGGTAGAAAGAAATCTTGCTGAGTGAATCACATGGTGCCATCTCATATCTTATGGTCAGGAGATCTTAAAGAAAAGAGAAACAAAATGATCGTTTTATAAGGTTGTGCAAAATTGAACAGTAGAATAGTTCTAGGTGTTTAAATTGGAAAAATCTTATGATCCACAGGAAATAAGTAAACACATGTATTTTGATGACTGGAACATACAGTTCCAGGGTTGTTTCGATAGCAGTATTGAAGAAAAGGGAACTGCCAGTTATATTTCTAAGAGAAATATAAAGTTTGATGCTGTAATTACTGTTGAGAACAAGAAATTAAAAGGTAGAGTACATGCTTAAAGAGCTAAAGATGAGTTTTATATAATTTTGATATAGGTAAGGGGATGGAAAGGAACAGAGAGCTGGTAAGCATATGGGGATTTGGGCTGCATAAATCCAGATGACAATTAGAGTACACCAAAGAATTAGCATTTTCTGTATCTCTTTTCTGTCTTTTCAGGGTGAATTATATTTTCTCAGTCAAATTACTTTATTTTTAAATTTCAATTTCAAATCTTTATTGTCAGTGCACAACACATGTACAATGAGCTTCCTCAGTGCACTGCCCCAACACAATACAACTCACAGTGAAGACAGAAAATCCCTAACCCAATAAATCATATTAACGAAACACCCAGTCCTATTTACAGACACATCTCTAAAGGAAATTCTTGTGAATCACACCTATCAATGAAATTTTACAAAAACAAAACCATAATTTCTCCCTGCCCTTGCATTAAAATTATTTCTTATTTCTCATTCTTATACCCCACTTCTGCCATATGATATACATTTAAAGAAACATAAAATTATTTTAAAAATATTAAACTTAACCTCACTAAGAAGTTTTCAGATTTTCTATTTGTAAAGGCTGTGAGCCTGTTAGCTTTCTGTAAGACTCTGAAAACTGGTCTGTTTCTTTAGACTTTTATACCAGAGTTTTAGGAGCTCTGTAGGTGATGTGCTTCATGGATTTATGTAGTCACTAGCATGAGATGGCGACTATAAAACTTACATCAAACAATCAGCATTAGCATTTAGGGATTATGTACAAAATTAAATCTTGATAAAATTCAATGGAAATATCTTTGCTGTATTTCTCCAAAACTAAGATATGTCTGGATAATAAGCCCAATTGGGCTTTTGAGCGCATGCACTAAAATAAGCCTCCCAAAAAATAAGCCCTTCCAAAATACTTAGATGCATGCGCAAGGGGGAAAGGGAGGGGGAACATCAGAGCTGCTGCTGCTGTCCGAGATCAGCAGGTCAGATTTGGTGAGCCGGATGCACTGCTGCCACTTGGGAGAAGAAGAGATAGAGGAGGCGCTGCGAGAGCACCCATTTCTCACGTTCATCTCCCCGAATCTGGCTTGCTGATCTTGACCGGTGAGGGGGAGTGGCAGGTGGGGAGGGGAGGGGTGGGGTGGCAGAGAAGCAAAAATTCTGCCACTCACCCAAACCCCAGATCTCCTGTTTGCCCTGCAGGCTCTTCAAGAGGAAGGCGATCGAATCAGTCTGTGGCTTTTGCAATCCAAGCCAGCACTTCTTCTCCTGCTCCCTTTCTCTCCCCGCCGCACAAGCAGTGTGTAACTTGAGAACTTGGATTCTCTATTTTCAACTCTTCCCGGTCGTCCTTTTGTTCTCCGCTTTGGCTCCAGGAGCTGCAACCAACCCATCCCACGCCAGGGAGGCCTCGGGAGAACTTTGGCAAGGCTGGCTGGGCAACTCTTGGGTGGAGACCCTCACCCCGGACCCCTTGGCTGCTTTGAGAGGGGCTGTGCAAGCCCAACCCAGCCCAGTACAGCCAGCCTCCTTGGTTGGCAGTCAGGAAAGTGGGGTGGGGGGAGAGAAGGTCCAAGAAGACCCCCGGACTGCTCCGCCACGCTTGTCCTATTCCCTCACCTCCTTTTACACACAAAGCCAATTGCACGGAGCTTGCTTGCATACAGGGGGTCAAAAGAAAATAAGACCCTCTTATTTTCAGGGAAACACTGTATTAATAACTCAGTTATACAATATAGAAAGAAATCAGTGGGATAAGGCACAAAGTCCAAATACAAAAGAAAGAATTAGATGTTTTCCTCTACAGAATTCCTGCAGAGTTTAGTTTTACATTTCTGAATTCCAATTTTGTAAATTTATTTTGACATACAAACAAGAAGTTGCAATTTAAGAAAAGTGTACAATCTGAAAACTGTTTAATTATTCCCTTTTATTGTTTTGTTTTTCTTATTGTTGGGAGGGGGTGATTGCAATTTAGATAATTAAGGTATTTTTGTTTTAATCATGATTTATGAAAATGGTTGCCATAGTGATTAAAGTACTGATAAGCAAATATGGATCTAGTCCATGCTCAGACATGGAAATTCCCTGGGTGACTAGGCCAATCTATCTTTCAGCACAACCTACCTCATAGGGCTGTTGTTTAGGAAAATTGGGAGGAGGAAACAACAACATGTTGCCCTGAGCTGCTAGGAGTGATATGGTATAAATCAAATAAATGAAATGTCAGTGACATTGAATTTGTAAATTATTACAGCCAGATTCATATATATCATTAAACCAAAACCAGACAAATCATATCATAGCTTATTAAGATACAGAAACCCAATCTCTGTGGATTTTGCCTGGTATTTCACTAGAGACATGAGAAAGAGTCTCAATGGATAAATTTATATTTAATTTATGAATATGCAGACCCTCAATTTATTATAACTTTGCTTTAACTGGCTTTGAAACAAATAGATCATAACTATTCCCTTACTATATGTTCTGCATAGATGTAACATTCTGCTTTCTGTTTTATGCCTGCGCAAAGTGAATAAAATATGGGTGCATAAAATCTCATTCAGTCTCCATGTTCATTCGACTTAATCCTTTCTTCCCTGTTACATAATGGCTGCAGTAATCAATTAAATCAAGGTTTTATGTATTTATGTATTTCTATAATGCATATATATACATATTATAATTGTATAATACACAAGTTATATGAGTTATACTGACTTGCTTTTTGGCAGCTTGGCCTGTAGATCTCTCTCCGTGTGTGTGCATGATAAACATCCAGCATTACTTCTCCCATACCCCCCAAATTAATCAAGTACAGTAATAATTATTTTTGTACACCTATTACGTCCTTGTTGAATGTATATTTGGAATTATGAAATAATAAGAATATTTGAAGCAGATTTAAATATTTCATTCTTTTTATGAGGCATCAAGAATCTAAATAATACATAACCAACAGAGCAGATTATGCTTTTAAAAGAAATAGAATCCAGGAAGATAAAATGATATAAAATGAAATAAAAACAAGGAACACTTACCAGATATATTTTCCATAATTAAATAATTGAAAAAAGTATAGGTGGTTATATTTCAAGCACAATATTAAATGCTTTCAAAATGTAGGTATGTACATTATGTAATGTATGTATGTATGCATAAATAAATAAATAAACCAGAGGAGCTCAAATAGCAGCAAGTCTATTTGGAGGAGAAAAATAAATAAATAAATAAATAAATAAATACAGAAAATATAATTAGGCAGAGGACTTCACACACTCCATTTACATTAATGGGAAAAAAGTAATTGTGAAAAATTTGTTTATATTCTATAACAGATAGTCCTTGCTTACAACAGTTCACTTAGTGACTGTTTAAAGTTACAATGTCACTGAAAAATTAACTTATCACCATTTTTCACACTTAAGACCATTGCAGCATGCCCATGGTCGCGTGAATAAAATGTGGATGGTTGGCAACTGGTTCATATTTATGACAATTGCAGTGTCCCCAGGTCATGTGATCACCTTTTGCGACCTTCTGAGAAGCAAAGTCAATGTTGAAGCCAAATTCACTTAACAACCATGTTCCTAACTTAATAACTGCCATGATTCACTTAACAGATACAGCAATAAAGGTTGTAAAATGAGGCAGAATTAAATTAACAAATGCCTCACTTAGCAACATAAATTTTGGGCTCAATTGTAGTTGTAAATCAAGGACTACCTATATACAATTTCTATAATCTGACTGCTCTTGTGATGAGCTGAATTTTAATTTTCAAGGTACCAAACTAGTAATTTTATTTATTTATTTATTATATTTCTATACCACCTTTCTCCCGTAGGACTCAAGGCGTGTACAGTCAAGAAAAATATAGACACACAAACATCATAAAATTGCTAATTAAATTAAATTAAATTAAATTAATCTGCTAGCTGGAAGCATGGGGATCAAGACATGTGGAAGAGTTCAGGCGAGGAAAGTTGCAGTAATATAAAATAGCAAATAATTCAAGAATACAAAACAGGAATACTTCTACTTAATAAATGAATCTCTAAAAAATGTAAGTTAGTTATAATTACCCTGGTGGCTTACATCCAGTTAAGGGCATTTTTGGCATGAGATGGGGAAATTGTAACAGTCATTTTGAGCTTTTATCCCTCCTGTGTGGACAAATCTGAATCCCCTACAGAAAGCAAACTGTAAAATTTCAGAAGTAAAATAAATTTTCAGAAAAGAGAACCATAAAAACTAGTTTGCAGATCTCAATTACACTAATAGAAGCAAATACTCAAGGTGGGCTTTGCTGAGGTAAAAATGTTAAAATAGTGATTTCAGTAGAATGAAGGCTCACAATCTAGTCATTTAATTTTTAAATATACATTCCATCTCAGGGATATTCTTCACATTTTGAAAAGAATGTTGATATATGAGAGAAAGAGAGGGGGGGAGGGAGGGAGGGAGAGAGATGATAGATGATAGATAATAGGATCAACTTCCAAATTGATAGAGGGGCCATACCAGATCTAGATCAAGAAGAGAGTAGGGCCTCTGTGAATTGTGTGATGAAATTTCCAGAAATCTGATGTAAATCTCTGTTGAACTACATGAACTTTCAAGCCTTACTATGGATGAGAAACTGCCGAGTTTAATATAACAGGAGATCTAATGGAAGAAATGAATGTTCTGATTTCTGCTCGGAAATTGGCATGAGAATAGAACAGCTGAGATCCCACAACCCCCAAACCAGCCATAATGACAGAAGTCTGGCAACAGTGCAACTGACATGAACTGAATACACCATCCTAGCCACCAATTCCGAAAAAGGATGTTATTCTATTATCTAACTTTCGGAAGTATTATACAACTTCACCTGATGAGTTGCTAATTTGAGTTTAGGAGAGATTGTTAGGGTTGCCAGGTCTGCTTCCAAAAAATAGCAGACAAGCGGGGGGGGGGGGGGGGGGGTTAAGTAGTAAAAAAATAAAAAAAAATTTTTACAATTAAATTATATATTTTCCTACAAACATTTTAACACGTATTAAAATAATCACTTCAAAACTTTACTTAAAATTCAAAACATCAAATATATTATAATAATATGTAAAATATTAAATTACATTTTACTTTGCTGTCATGTGTATTTATTTGACTGCACAGCTTTGATCAATTCTTTGTGTTTAAGGAATAATTCTTTAATTTCAGTACGACGTTGAGAAATATTAAAAAATATACAAAGTTCACTTCAAGTTCACTTACGTTCATCAGTCCACAAATTTCCCACGACGCTGAAAATTCGTTCAACGTTTGCATTTGATATCGGAATTGATGCACAATACTGGAACAGTTTCAGTAAACTTGGAGCTGGCTCTTTCTTGAAAAAGTACGTCCACTTATCAAGGGATGAATCGCCCTGCAGATGAACATAAACTTCTTCTAAGGCAGAAATTTCATCGAAGAGAGTGTTGGGTGGAAGTTCTTCTCGCCATGGTGATAACCACCAGATGTTCGTCATTTCTTCTAAAGTTGGAGGATTATTGCGATCAATTAGATTGAAACAATTTAACGTCTCATATACTGAATTGGTGAAATTATACCACTTTTCAAGGTACGCAATGGCTCTTTGATACACGTTGATGGCTTCTTTCTTGAACTTTTGCACAGCATTCTCAGGCAAATGTTTTTTATGTAAGGCAAATAAAAACTTTCATTCCAAAAAACTGCTCATCATGTTTTTTTTTGCAAAGAATCATGCAGCTTACACATGATAATGTGAAGATCACATGGAAGAATTTTCTTGCTTTCCAGCTTCAGTAGGGTGTCTTGCATTATTGACATGAAGAAGTGCGTGAAATATAAATACAATTCTGAAATTGTTGGTTCATCATCTTTTGCGAGTTCATTTTCCTGATCCGAAATAAGGTTCCAGATAACCTTATGGCACTCATCAGATCCAAGAGAAATAAAATACGATTTTAGAGGTATCCAGTTTAAAAGAAGTCTTTCGACCGCTTTAAACAAACTTAACCAACATGTTGGAACATGGCGCAAAACTTCATTGAATTCTGACTCGCAAAACTCAAAAAATGATTTCAACTCTTCTCATTTCTTCGCAGAATTCGAAAATTCGGCAAAAACCTTCAGCACTATCATTTCATCATAAAGCTTTTGAATAAAAAAAATGTCCACTATTTTGTGAAAAAAAATAGTGAATATAATGTGAAAAAAGTGGACTGTCCGCTCAAATAGTGGACACCTGGCAACCCTAGAGATTCCCTAGAGATCCTTCCAATGGCTACAACATGAGAAAAATAAGCTTTGTGACAAAAAGAAGTGCACTGAAACTTGGCTTTGCAAGAAGATGACATCACATTACTGTTGTGCACACCTAGAGCCAAATTATCATTGTGGCAGATGGTCTATGCCGGAAGCTATATTAAACATTATTGCAGTTTATGAATATAAACAGGACATACATGCTGTGCAATTTTTCCTACATGTTTGCTGTTATAAGTACTAACTTATTGTTTTACAACAAGATCCCTAAACTTCTGAAAAACTGATCAGTTAAAAGGAAGTCAGTTTAGTATCAATTTAAAGGTAAGCATAACACACACACACACACACACACACACACACACACACACAGAGTTTATATATCTGTATCTAACTTCCTTCTCCCCCCTCCTCTCTCTGTTTATATGAGCCAACTGAGAATCTCTAGTAAGTATTCTACAAACATAATTGTTATCATCTTCCAATAGGAGGTAGGATTAGGATTCAGGGAGGCAAAGCAGAAATTTGTTTGCACCTTGGTTGATAATCCTCATAGAAACAAACTCAATAATGAGAAATTTCTTTATTAGGCCTAGGACGCAGGTATGTGTCTGAAAAGTAATGCCTGGGAATAGTAAGATAAAGTAAGGTCTGTAAGGGGCATGCATAAGTGCATTAGCGTGCCTACCGTCCCTGTCCTAAAGTTCCTTTTTTACTCTTACTCTTTTCATGTATTCAAATTATGTTTATACTTTTACCTGTTATCTTATATATGCTTGACAAACAAACAAACAAACAAACAAATAAATGGTAAACTACACAGGGAAAGAATTTGGCAGTCTTGTCACTAATTTTTAGTTTCTTTTCAGTGCTGTTTTCGTTGAGGTGAAAAGCACTATTTTAACTCATTCAACTTTTGTCTCTCTAACTGTTCATTTGGAGCTTCAAGACTGACTTTCAGTCTCTTGTAATTTAATGTAACCAGCCCACCTCTCTCATTTTTCATTTATTCCCTTATTAAATCTCATTTTCAATTATCACTCAAATGTTCAGCACATTATTACTGTCACACACTCCAAATCCACCTTGACTTGGTAAGCCAGTGTAAAAATAGGAAACCAATGCCATTCATTTAAAAGCTTATTTGTTAGAAAAGAGTGGAGATCTTCTCCCTCATGCCAATTCATATAAGGAGTGTACTCTGTTCAAAACTATCTACCCAGAAAGAATCAGGTATTCCAGAACTCAGGATCAAAGAGGTGTAAAAGAAGAGATTTCAGAGAAAATGGGCGTTGGTCTTACCTGATACGCCTCTTCTCTGACTGGCGCCCACGGCAGTCATGCCTGGTACTGACACGGCTGATATCCAATAGGACCGAGTCCACTGGAACTTTCAGCACCGCCCCTTCCTGCTGTATTCCAGTTTTGAGGCGAGGCTGTCCAGCAGACTGGAGTGTCTGTAAAACAAAGCAGAGAATAAAAGACTTCCCACCCACCGAACCCAGGGACGGCCGGAATGGATGGGGCTGACTGCCGTGGGTGCCAGTCAGAGAAGAGGCATATCAGGTAAGACCAACGTCCATTCTCCTACACGGCGCCCACGGCAGTCATGCCTGGGACATACCAAAGCATGATGTCTCCTAGGGAGGGAGAGGCCGGACCTGCTGCAGAACTCTCCTGCCAAAGGCCGCGTCCGCCGACGCGTAGACATCCAGACGGTAGTGCCAGATGAAAGGAGTAACCGAAGACCACGTAGCAGCCCAGCAGATCTCATCCAGAGGCGCTTGAGTGGACCAGGCAACGGAGGTGGAGGTGCTTCTGGTTGAGTGCACCGTGATATTGGCAGGCACCTGCAGGGACTGCGCTACATAGGCCAGTGCAATGGTAGCTCTGAGCCACCGTCCGATAGTAACTGAGGAGACTGGAAGGCTTCGAATAACATAGTCAAAGGCTGGAAGGATAGAAAAAGAGCTTCTAACCTTCGGAAAGAAGCAGTACGGGCGACATAAATCTTGAGGGCCCGGCGAACGTCCAGCTTGTGCCAAATGAACTGGCAACGGCAGGGAGAAGGGCAAAAGTTCGGAAGCGTGAGCTCCTGTGATCTGTGGAAGATGGTGTTAATCTTTGGGACGAACGCCGGGTCTAGACGAAGAACCACCCTGTCCGTGTGAAAGATGCAGAGGTCGGACCGCACGGACAGGGCAGCCAGCTCAGAAATGCGCCGAGCAGAGGTCACAGCAATGAGGAACGAAACCTTAAACGATAAAAACTTGAGACCAACTTCTCGTAAGGGTTCGAATGGGGGACCCATCAAGGCAGATAAGACCTTGTTTAGGTCCCACGACGGGAAACGGTGAACCGTGGGAGGACGGAGATTGGTGGCGCCCCTCAAAAAGGATCTGATGAGTGGATCATTGGTGATGGGCGTGGCTGATGAACAGGAAAGAATCGACAATAAAGCGGCTACCTGTCGCCTGAGCGTATTAGGGGCAAGGCCCGCAGCAAACCCCTGTTGAAGGAAACCTAGAAGATGAGGCACCGAAATGTCGGTAGGTGAAACGCCTTTTCCATGACACCAAGAGGAAAACACACGCCAAGTGGAGCCATAGATCCAGAGCATAGATGGACGGCGAGCATCCTGGATGATGGGGATCGCGTCCGGAGGAACTTGAGCTCTGGTTAAGAGGAGCCGCTCAGCCGCCATGCGGTCAGTTGGTAGGACTGAGGATCTGGGTGGAGGAGCGGACCCTGATGGAGGGAGATCCTGTCGTCGGGGATCCTCCAGTGGGGAGCAACCGACAGGGCCATGAGGTCGGCAAACCACGGATGGCGAGGCCAGTGTGGTGCCAGGAGAAGAATCTCCGCCCACTCCGCCACCAATTTCCTTACGACCCTGGAGACAGAGGGGGGCAGAGGGGGAAAGGCGTAGAGGAGCGGTTCGTGAGGCCAGGGACTCCGAAGAGCATCCACCGCTTCCGCTCCCGGAGAAGGGAATCGAGAGAAGAAGCGGGGTAGTTGCCAATTGCCGGGTGTTGCGAACAGGTCCACAGTCGGACGGCCGTACCGAGAGCATAGTTCCTCGAACAGGAGGGGTTGGAGACTCCATTCGGCCGGATCGATGAGGGAGCAGCTGAGGGGGTTCGCTTGGGAATTCGCCGATCCCGAGATGTGCTCAGCATGGAGAGAAGACAGATGGACTTCTGCCCAGAGACCCAACTGGAGAGCCTCTCGCATCAGGGACCGGGAGCGAGTCCCCCCCCTGGCGGTTGACATGAGCCTTGGCCGAGACATTGTCCGTGAGGACGAGGACGTCCCGACCAAGAACATGAGGCTTGAAACTGAGAAGGGCCAGGTAAATGGCTCTCAATTCCAGGATGTTGATGTTCAGGGTTCGTTCCGCCTGGGACCAGAGACCTTGTGCTACATGCGATTCCAGGTGTGCTCCCCAGCCCGAGAGGCTGGCATCTGTGGTGAGAACAATCCAGCACTGGTCCCCGAACGAAGAGCCCTGGGAAATGGCTGACGATGTCCACCAGCTCAGAGAGTCTCAAACTGCTGGAGGAAGAACAATTTTGGATGCCGAGGTGCTGGTCCAACGCCGTTGGTAAGGGAGTAACAGCCACTGCAGCTCCCTGCTGTGGAGGCGAGACCATGGCACGATGCCATAAGCAGAAACCATTTTCCTAGAAGGCTAGAGAGATCTAATAGAGAGGCAGAGCCCCGCCTACGAATTTTGGAGGCCAGGTCAGAGAGACTCGTCTGATGCTCCTGTGACAGGGAAACTTGGAGGGCAGAAGAATTAATGACGGCCCCCAGGTGCTGGAGGCACGTTGTAGGAGACAGATGGCTTTTGTCCCAGTTAATAGAGAAGCCATGCCGTCGCAAAATGGACACCACCAAGTCTAGATCCCCATGGGCCTGGTCCAGGGATCGAGACAGGATGAGAATATCATCTAAATAAAAAAGTGTCCGAATAGGGATAGAACTAATGTGGGCGATAAGGGCCGCCATGACTTTAGTGAATACCCTAGGGGCAGAAGAAAGACCAAAGGGCAGAGCCGCATATTGGAAATGTTGGCCATTGTAGGAAAACCTTTGAAATTTGCAGTGGGGAGGGAAAATGGGAATGTGGAGATAGGCCTCCGTTAAGTCAATGGAAGACATAAAGTCCCCCTTCCTAATGCAGAGCAGAATGGTTTGGAGCGACTGCATTTTAAAACGGCGATATTTGATATGCCGATTTAGAGACTTCAAGTCAAGGATAGCCCTCCAACCAATCGAGGTTTTGGGGACCAGGAATAACCGAGAATAGAACCCCCTGCTGCGCTCCAGAGAGGGGACAGGCTGAATAGCCCTAATGGCCAGGAGATGCTGAATAGCCTGGTTGACTCTAGCCCTTTTTATAGGGTCAAGAGAGACTGAGCAACGGAGATAATGGTTAGGAGGGCAGGATTGAAATTCAAGTCTAAGGCCAAATCGTATTGTATCTCTTACCCAAAAATCAGAGACAGATAAGTCCCACTGGTTACAAAAATGGGACAAGTGGCCCCCAATCAAGGAATCAGACAGATCCTTAGCGGGACCGTCTAAAGGGGCGACCCCTCCCCCCACGAAATGAGGATTTTGGTGGAAAACGGGGTCCCTGTCTGACCTGGTTTCCAAATTGCTGGGAAGCTCTGGAAGGAAAGGATCGGGGAGAGCGGTGCTGAGAGAAGTTGGAATCGGAGCCCCGAAAGGATGAAGCATGAAAGGAGCCTTGAGAATGGAATTCAGAACGCCGGGCTATGGAAGGAAGGATCTTCCGGTGGTCCTTAGTCTCGATCAACAGTGGATCCAGCGGAGCTCCGAATAACCTGTCAGCCGAATAAGGAGAAGAGGCCAGATGCCACTTGTTTCTAGCGTCAGCTTGCCAATTCCGGAGCCAAAGGAGCCGTCGCGACGTTATAGAGGTACCAATGGCCTTGGCGGAAAATCGAGAGGCAGTGAGGGTGGCATCAGTGGAGAATTCTGTTGCTGCAAGGATCTTATTAATGTCCTGATGAGAACGGTGGTCTGAAGCAGGAATGCGATCTTGTAGCTGGCGCAACCACAAAATGGATGCGCGATTGAAGAAAGATGCCACCGAGGAAGCCTGGATAGACCAAGCGGAGGCTTGGTGGCCCTTGATAAGGGTCCGTTCGGCCTTCTTTTCTTCAGGTCGCAAATAATCCTCAGGAGGCCCCGTTGGGGGAGCAGAGGTGGACAAGGCTATGATGGGTGAGTCCACGGTTGGTACCTGCAAAAGGTTGGAAAATTCCGGAGCCAAATTGTAAAACTTCCTATCCAAGTTGTTGGGGATAGGGCCTGTGCTGGGAGAAGACCATTGGCATTTTAAGACCTCCGAAAATAACTTTGGAGCCGGGATAATATGTGAGTGCACCTTGGGCTCCTGGAACAGAGCAGAAGAAGGGTCAGCCTGTTCAGGGAGATTGGTCGAGGAAGAACTCTCGAGCCCTAGGCGGATAGTCGTCTTAGCCTTGTAAACTAAAGAGCGAAACATATGTGGTTTGAAGAGACCCACAAATGCTGGCTGATCAGGCTCAAGGCCCTCGTCCTCAGAAAGGTCTTGCTCAGGTAACTCCCCCTCCTCTGAAAGCGAGTCTTGAGTCGCGGAGTCACGGTCAAAGGCATCAACAGCGGATTCCTCGTGAGGGGAACGATGACGGGAGTATGTGGCCACTTGCCTGTTATCAGAAGAAGCAACAACTGGCTGAAATTGTTGAATGCCTTGGGCAATTCCCTGGTCGATAGCCTCTGAGATGAGGTCAGCCAGGGATCCCTGCATATCCAGGGGCAACTGAGCCGCCTGAAGAGGGTGGCTGGCGTCGGAAACTGAAGAAGAAGGAGGAGGCCCCTGAGTAGCCTGAGTGGAGGAGGGGCCCCTCTGGTCCTGAACCTGAGGCTCCTCTAGAGGGGATAGGAACACCGATGCCACTTCTGCAGCATAGGAGGAGTCTCCTTGGACAGATCTGTCCGGGGACAAGGCGCGAGGAGAGCAGGCTGGAGCAGAGGAAGGATGAACGGGCTCCTTGCTGCTTGAGAGCTGGCTCTTTCAAAGGCCTTCTCCATGGCCTTGTGACGCCTGTCTTCATCCCTAGAAAGAGCAGAGCTTTTGGGGCGAGCGGAGCGATCTGAGGACGTAGCCCTGACCCTAGACTTATGGCCAGTTGAAGGGCCTTCACCAGGGTCATCATGATGATGTTTCCCCTTGGCCTTGGAGCGGACCGAAGCTTCAGCCATCTTGAGATAGATAGAGGCCTTAAAATGGCGCCCAAATGCCTCAGGGCCTAGAATTCGCTTGCCCCGTTCCTCGCTAGCCTTACGGCTTCGGTGCGAGGGTTTAAATTCGGCGCGGAATCTCTGTAAGCGCCGATCAGCTGGGAAGCGGAGAGCCGGGCTTTGTAAATGCCGCCGATATCCAAAGCGGCAATGCAGCTGCCCAGGCACTTAGCGTCAGAACTGGCGCGAAGGGGCAAGGAAAATGGCACGAATTGGACAAGCGCCAAAACGAAGCAACCGCTCACCACGTCCCTCAGAAATTTGCTGGCTCCAAGGAGGATGCGAAAACGGCACCGAAATAGCCTTGCGCCGGTCAGCTGTGAGGCGGAGCATCGGGGGCGCTGCGATCCGCCACTTTAAGAGGCGAGAAGGACTGCAACGCGGCGGAGCAAGATATACGAGCTCGTGCGCGTGCGAAGGATAAGGAAGCTGCCAGCCGGCAGTCCTAGCCGCTCAGGAGTCAGAGCAATCGAAGGCAGGTCTTTTCTTTTTCTTTTTTTCTTTTTTTACAGAGGAGAATTCACTGAAAAGCTATGGAGGAAATTACAGACACGACTGTCCAAGAACAGACCGAGTCGAAAAACTGGAATACAGCAGGAAGGGGCGGTGCTGAAAGTTCCAGTGGACTCGGTCCTATTGGATATCAGCCATGTCAGTACCAGGCATGACTGCCGTGGGCGCCCTGTAGGAGAATCTGCAGACTTGTGTTTGGGGCACCCATGCTGTATAGTACAATAAAGGCAAAATAAACTGCTGATACCTTGGACAAACAGAAATGACTCTTTTGTCTCTTTTCAGCATTAATAACACATTTAGTTTTCCATATATGAAATCATGGCTACTGCATCGAGCACAGCTATTTATTTCAAGATGTAATTTAAGAAGCACATAATTACTGCAAAGTTCCATTCATCATTTCAACAATAAAAGTAAATTACACAGTGTAGAGAATTAAGAGATCTGTTTTGCAACTTGGTTTATTATATAAGGAACTATGGAACTGACTGGAAAATACATGCTGCCATGCAGCCTCCTCAATATGGCTCTGTTTGGCTATTTTACATCTTATCTGTAATTCCCTCAGCTAGCGCCAATTGTGCTGGCTGGTTATCAGATCCAACATGTGTGAAAAACTTCTGGCTGGAAACTATAAGATATAATACAAATAAAATCACGAAAATAAATAGCTATAATAGGTTGGCACTTGGCAGGCATTTTGCACACTGAGCATAATTTTCAAGAACTATCTCCTGTGCCTGAAGAGAAAAGTTTTCGATCAGTATGAGCTACCTGTTCTATTATATGTTGGTGAAACATGGACATTAACCTCACAATCAATACAAAAGCTACGAGTGGCACTAAGAGCCATGGAAGACACATGTTCTGCATTACAAGACAAGATAGAAAAACCTCATATGGATTAGAGAGCAAATGAAAATATACAATATCATGAAGAGAGTAAAAGAACTGAAATGGAAATAGGCTGGTCACATAGCAAGAAGAGCTGATGTCAGGTGGACCAAAACAGACATACAATGGATCCCACTTGATAAAAAGCATCCACGAAAGAGATGGATCGATGGCATCAGCAAGTATTGTGGTCCCAGTTGACAAAAGAAAGCTCAGGACCAAACGTGCGGAAGAGACCTTCATCCTGCAATGGATAGACAATAGCTAAAATGATGATAATGATGATGAATAAAATGCTAAAAATTGACATATTATAATCATAGTTAACATATGCAATTTCCCAGTATATTCAGAAAAGTAGTGACTCAACTACATAATGAAACTGATAACGGGGAAAAGAAAGTTGCATTATGACTTCATAGCAGCAGTTCTATATATTGGGCAGGATTGTGGCTTTTTTAATTTACTGGTTCAATTACTGAAAAAAAATGAGATATCAGGCTGAAATATCAAAGTAAATGTTTTTCATTTGTGTACAACCCATTGGGAAAGAAATATACGCTTCAAGATGTCTTTAGTTTACTATACATTCAAATTAAGAAATTATAGTCTTTGGAAAAATCAGAGTTGCAAAAGAGGGTTTGGTTTCAAGACTGTCAGAGTTCCCTGTTTTCACAAAACATGATTCTTGTAGTTAAGAGGAAGATTTGTTTTTCCATGCTTTGGCTGGAACTTCCCCAATCTACCATACTGAGGCAAAGAAACCATGCTTATTGTAACAGTCACTGGATACTTGCTTTATAAGAATAGGGATGCCTAAAAACGGAAAAGCAAAGTTTTTACTGATGTTGAGGCCTATAAGGTGAGAAATCTTAGGAATCTGATTTGCCGGTTATTATTTGTACAATTTTGCAAAGTGGGCCTTTCAGGTATGTGCTAGAGCTGGGAAGTCCTTTACTAAAGAGTTGGAATGTTGAAAATAATAAGGCTGATTGAGATGGAACTTTTCTCTAGGTGGTCTAGGCTTCTATTTTTTGTTTAAATGGGATTGCAGGGGGCTTTATCTGTCTTTGGATCAGAAAGGTTTGACTAAAAAGCAGGAAGCAGAAGGGTGCAGCTTCCATTTTATTTGTACATTTATTTTCTCTACCACACTTAGGTATGAGAATGAGGCACAATCAGTGCTTGATTTTCTGTCTCTCCAAACTGAGGAATTTGTTTTTTATTTATTTAAACAATTTTCATGGCCGTCCACTCATTCTTAGTGACTGGATTGCTTACAAAATGTGAACTGGAAAGGATAAATGACCCAGAGAGGCAGCTGGATTATGCATGAACAATTGTAAAGTGATATTGTAAGAGAGTATTTCTCAATCTCAGAAACTTTAAGATGTGTGGTTGTGGAAGTCTAATTTTAAAGCTGCCAAGACTGTGAAACATTATTGTAAGAGGTGACACAAAAAACATGGGATCATCACCTTATTGATTCATATAGCTCTGCATATTAACTACACATTATAAAAGCAAGACATATTGTTCTCTGATTGCTCTCTGTAATTAAGATAATCTGTTATTAATGTGCTTGTTTCAAAATATATAGCAGACTATTTTGGAAGAAACAAAATTGAAGTCACTTTTTGTGCACAACTGAATGAACTTTTGTTTCAAGTGCATTTAATTGCATATAAAACCAACAGTGAACTATTAAGTATTCCACAATAAACAACAGTTTTCACTGCTGGAATATGTTTATGAGAGAAAAATAATTAGAGCTATAGAAGGCCCTTGAGCAAATTCATAAAGATACAGTAACAGGGTGATTCTTCCAGTCAAATTATTCTATATATTGATAAGGCTTTATCTCTTCCCTTCATGAGGATTTTTTGGACTACAATTGAGTCCTTTGTGCACTCTGAGCTTGTTTGTTAACTTTGAGATGTTTTATTACCTGACTAGGTAACATCACCAAAAAGTGTAGGGTCTGCCTCTTGTTTATATACAGGAGCTTGCCCTAGTAAGGTTGTGGTTTTCTTCTTGGTTTTTCCAACTAATGTTTGTTGTTCAGATATATGAACCATGTCAATAGACATGTAGAGACAAACCATATTTACACACACTCAGAAGGCAATAAAAAACTAAGAAAGAAACAAAAAAATCAGAACAGATCTCTCCAGCAATCAAAAACCAGATAAGCAAGGATTAACACCAGAGAAACAATCAAGCAGGAAAAAAAAACCTTAATCAAGGAATTACCAAGAATCATCAATTATGCCTCCCAATACTGGCAGGACAACTTACAGTACATAACAGGACACAGAACATAAACAGTTACTTGTAGAGATGATATTACATAGTTGGATAATGAAATGTCTACAAGCAGAGACCACCAAGGACTCCAACCAGAAGCTACAAATACTGTATTATCTTCTATTAGACTAGAGTGCAATATAAGTAATTTCCTAGTTGTTGTTACAGTGATAATTCCAGTTTTTAACTTTGTAAAAATCCATTTTCCATGACAAAGAACTAGATATTCAATGAGAATTCCAGTATTAATAACTAGCATTTTACAATGAAACACCCATATAGATAGTTGTAATCCATAATGCTAATAAATCTTCACTTCCTGATCCTTTTTCATAGATAGAAAAGCTGCAGAGCAAAATGCTAACTAGAATCGCAGTTGTGTATTCTAGCCAAAATTGGTCTAGGCTATTGGGTCATTTCAGGATAAATTACTCTTAGTCTCCTACTTTTCAGAAATAAAAGAGCTGAGCCAAGAAAGAGCTCCTTTTCAGGAAAAGAGTTAGCTCTTTGGAAGTCTACTGGTGGAACTTAGATTGATACCTTCCCTGATTATTTTCAGAAAGATGCTGAAGCCTAAGCTGCTCCCTAGTGAAGAATGACCATAATTTGACTTATTATTTGGATTTGAGATTGATTTTGTTTTGCATTTTCATTAATCTCTACAGCAGATGTTTTAATTCTGCTGATACCATGCAATCATCACTAGAGTCAATTCTGACTGCAGCAGGATAAAAAATGAATCCAGGGAAGCAAGTACTGTAGGCCAGATCAAAGTTAAAAAATAATACTACTTAACAAGTGTAAAGGTTTTTTTAAATGTTATGATAGATCATTCTTCATGGCTAAATTTCAAAAATATGCTTGTATTAGGTGTACTGGATAGTCATTGAATATCCAAAACACTCAAATTAAAATGTTTAAAACAATGTTTAAAATGGAATAAGTTTTGTAAGATTGTCAGAGATTGAAAACAGAATGGAATGGTTATTAACACTTTGCTGTACATGTGAAAATAGGTAATAAGCTAAACCTTTGCCTACAATTTTTAACTTGCAAAATAGCTGTTATATTCCTAATTAATGCAGATTGTTTTTGTAATATGTTTAGATTATAGCTAAGATTAGCTAAGCTAAGATCTATAATTATAGATTATAATTAGTGTATAATTCAGGAACTTTACAAATGACAACCATTTTACCTTATACAAAATTTCAGCAATGAATGATAACACAAAATCTGACTAGAGTATACGGATTTGTGTATATTTTAAATATTAAAGAGAAACCAAACTACTTATTTCTTTGCCTACATACCAATTTTAAAAAGAAAATCACTATATGTCAATAAATTTAATGGTCTTACTGTCTGACTTCCAACACTTTTCTGGAATTCATTCTAATATATAAAGGCTTAAAGGACATGCTGTTTTACAACATGCTGAAATTTAATACGAGTTGTAAATTAGCTATTCTTCTTCATTATACTGGTTTTTGACTGTAATAATAAGCTAATTGAAATTAGCTAATGCAAATATTTAGTTGGTGATAAAAACATTTTAATAGTGATTTTATTAATCCAGTGTTGCCTGTCCATGTCAAAGAGTATGTCAAGATACAGAAAGTACTTTAACCATGAGATAGTTCAAACCAACGCCTCTCAATCAGTTCTCTTCTATTCTGTAAAC